CATGCGGCTCACACTTACTTCTACTATTAATGCCGATAAGTTGTTAATTGTTTTATTGTCTGGCCAACGAAAACTCTCTTCCGGCTGAATTACAACGTTATTTTATTCGACTGGGAAGAATGTTTTCTTTAACGTTTAATTAACGACTAGTTTTGTCAAGTCCGATTCATTTTATATTTTAGTCGCCGGTCTCCTCCGTTTTTACGCGGCCTTATTTTATCGCGGATAACGTTAAGTCGAGGACCCGAACGATGAATTTGATTATTATTCGCTTCCGCGTTCTCGTTTCTTGTTTCCTTTCTTCGGATTTAAATGGCTTCGCTCTTTTTATCGTTTTAACCACCGAACACTCGTACTTGGTGGCGGATTTACGTTTTGGCCCGGTCGAGCGGAATTTTTCGGACTTCTCGTGTCTAAGTAGGAACCAATTTTCCACCAGTCCTCCCTGGAGGATCCCTCCTCGGCAGATCGTTGCCATGCCACCCTATCTATTCGTCTTTTCCGTTGTTTTTAACCGGGTTTTTACTTTTAAAATCCCTCAAAACTTGCTCCGATGTTATTGTTTCTGAATTTTAGAATCTTTCTCCGTATTGACGAAGATCAGTTAGATGGATTGCGCCGACCATCGTCCGTACTATTTAAAAATATTTAGTAAATTGCCGATCCTTATAATGTTCTTTTCGTACGATTACATGGCAAACATTCCTCGAGAGATTTAAATGCGGATAGCTGGGAGGCGATGACATTATTTTATTCTTCTCTCGACAGGAAAAAATCGTTGGATTAGTCGAACCAAAGCAAACTTTTCGATTTAAACAGCGGAGTGATAAATCTATGGAACTGTTTTGATAGACGTCGAAATCTCGGGAATACGGTTGGCGCGAAAACTACTTTAGAGCTTCACTTTGTGAGAATAAACCACTTTATTTTACGTTATATTCTGTTCTGTCGCGTAACTTAAGAGGATTTTTCTTGGCTGCGGACGAAAACTTCACACTCCTTATCTTCAAAATTCAAATTCCTCCAGTGACTATTTCTCGCCTGTCTATTCCGAAATAATTATATTATAAATTAGTATTAAATAATTAAAAACAATGCTTAGAGATTACTGCGGGCGACAGTAACGCCAAGCTCGGGAATCTTTCTTGGAATTTAAATATCTGTTCGTATTAAGGCCGAAAGAGATTGGTCGTCTTCGAATCGTTCTTATAAATACTGGATTTTTCTAGATGGCAAGCGGTTAAGTAAGCAAACTGATTTCGTCGTTGGTTTGTTTACTCGAGCATTTACCACCTAGAAGCACTCATTGTTTTGTTAGGTACTGTACATTACGTTAAGTAAACACGTCCGTGTCCACATTAATGCCAAATATTAGGGGAAAAATAAGGATCCGTTGGGAAATAAAACGGATTCGAACGGCATAAATTTCTCAATTCGTTCGCTACAAAAGAAAAACAAAGGTTATTACTTATTAAGAATTTAAATTAATTGCTGTTTCGAACAAAACAATACATTTTACTCCCGCCTATTGTGTGTAGAGAGAAAGACAACGGCATTTAAATCCGGATTTAAATCTCCGGAGAAATTAAGGCGACGAATCGTTAAGCGAAATCCATATTACAATAGTAGAGTTTTTTTTAAAATGTTTTACCAAACCGAATGACGCAACAATACGTCATTATTTACAATATTCGATTGTTCCAATAAAAGTTCCACTTAGACGAAGTAATAAAAACCCAAAAGGGCTGCACGTATTGTTATTAAATTTTGAAATATAGGACATTTCGGTATTACTTTTTAAAAGTAAATAAAATGTTTATTTTCTACAAAATCCTATCGAAGGAATAATCGGAGTGCCTTTTTGATAAAGTCGACTCGGATACGTAATAATTACTTTCTGTTATGGTCGTCGCCGGATACAAATGGGGAGGGGAATAATTTATCGATAACGTAATCTATTTTGGGAGTTACATAAATAAGTAAGTGGAGCGAAACGGGCATAAACCCGTCTTTAAATAGGCCCACGCTTTTATCCGAATGTAGGACGAAGCAGAAATCTCCACTTTATCGATCGAAAGGAAAATGGAATAACAACGCAAAGAATAAAATACATTAGGCCAACTTAAAAAGATGCCGGAAGACGTCTAAACTTTAATGATATAAATACAATCTCATTTATATTTAAGAAGTTCAATTCCTTCTCGTAAAATTTTAGAGGACGGAAATGCCATTTCGTCATCCGTAAATTACGAATCGAAACGAAATTTCGTCGAGGCCTACAGTGGTATAAATTGACCTTTGAAAGGCGATGTAAATTATACTTTACTAGCAGACCCCGCCACGCGTTGTTGTGGCTCAAAATGTATCTATTAATATTATAAATGTATAAAACTTCCCCGTCGGGGGAATTTTTCGAAAAATCTCTTTTTAGTGTACATTCTCTCGACGTACCCCATTAAAACGCAATCAAAAACGCAAAAACCCGCATCTAAAATAGTATAAATAGAAGCGGAGTTCTTTACCGTAAGCCTTAATCCTAACCGTCTCCCTTCAGTGGGGTTGAATTTCGACACGTATACTATATAAAAACACGCGCGTATTCGAATGCGGCGTTGTCAAAATTTGAAAGGAATCGGCAGGCACGAACGAACATTACATTTTTATTTATATGAATAGATAGATGATCCGCTTTAGTTCATTTTCACAGAAAAGCAAACTTAGGGCGTCGTACTCGTAGCGCCATCTGTTGGACATAAAAGCCTTAACCCTGGATGATATATTTTAATTTATACGAATGTTTAACAAAATAATATACAGTCTATGTCCACCCCGAGGTTCCATTCTAAATATTGGTGAAAGAATTTTTGAAATCGGACGAGTAGTTTCGGAGATTACCCGCTACATACAAACTTACTTACAAACATGACCTCTTTATAATATTAGTATAGATAAACAGTAAAATGCTTTGGATTCGGTTACAACCAGTTAACGAACGGAATTTAAACGAAAAGTTTTATAATAAAAAATTAAAACGTTGTTGTAAATTATATTAATATTTGAGGCAATTTTAATTACTGCTTGTTTGTTTATTTGGAGCTTCTTTCGCTGGCAACAATATCTCCAGGACTTGTTTATTTTCTTCGTAGAAAGTTAAAATGTTGTCGTTGAATTTTACACGGTTGCATTTGTATGAAAATTTTGCATATTTATTTTTAACGTTTTTAATTGTCCAATAGGTAATAATGAGTTTGTCGGCATTTCTGGCCCTCGAACGGCTGGTGGACTGTTGGCAGCGTAGCGTCAAAAATACTTCTCCACACGTAATCTTACAGTATCGATACGATATGTTTCGAATTTATTATCAATACTATCAATTTCAAATCCAGTGTGTCGTCGACTCGACCCGAAGAATTTAAGTTCATCCGAGTTGCGTACGTCAATTCATCAACAGAAGTACCGAAACGTAAATGTTTACTTTTTTACTCCGAAAAATCCTCAAAAGATAACCGTGGACGTCCTTGTATTTTCCCTCTCTTCTTTAAACATAGGATGCTAATTGTTGTTTTAAGTCAATTATTATTGTTATTTAAAAATCCGTCCCGCATCTTCTTTGATTCGGCACGTTTTTGCTTAAACTGAGTCGTGAAAAAGGATATTCGACCATTAAAATCACTCAATGAACACTCGGGACAGTTGCTTAGTTTTCGACTTTAATATTTTTGAAGCCGTTCCCTCATTACGGCGATTAAGTTCATTTATGGTATTCATTTACCGTCCCGTAATATAATAAAAGTAATATTATAACAAAAACTCTTACCAAATATGCTACGTCTATTTTCATGCTTTATATTTCTAAGAGAGGCAAACGTGGGAAATGAATTTAACGTTATTCTAATTACGCGATTCCTCCAGACTTCATTAATGTATGAAAACATAACTCGGAGGGACTTAGAAATAAACTATAACTCCTACGGATTCATTTTCGAACTCGACTGCATTCGAAATTACCGATCAGTTTTAAATATAAAGAAGGTATAACACAAAAAGCATAGAATGACTTGAAAGTACTTACACGTAGGTATATTCTCCGTATCCGTTAAAAACCGTACAGTCTATCTGCAAACAATAACAATTTTTATCTGCAAGAAACCAATTGCGTGCGAGAATAATGTTAAAACAGTCGAGGTGTACGAGAGAACGACTTAGGACCTGTATATATTGCATTTGTTGATGCACAAATATGTAACGTTTATAATACAATAAGGAACTCGACTATCTCTACATTTTTATTTTTTGATTTTTGATCAACTTTTATGGCTCCTCGCCCAATTTCGCGGCCCGGAAACTCTTCTTTTATTCGAAACAATACTTAAACTATAAACGGATCTCGTACAACGACTCCCCTTCGTACTAAGTTTCGAACGAGATTAATCGCGAACGATGCTTTAGGGTTTTGTTGCGTAAAATTTACAAGTTACAGGCTGTTAGAACAATCTACAGGCTTTATAATACAGTACTCGCAGCTGGTTAATAATTACGCAATCAAAATTGGTTACAACTATTAGCTGGTAACTCGTTAAACATCTTTTTATTCGACACATTTTGCTTGTAATTTGTAACGAGGCTGAAGAATTTGTGCGGAATTGTGAACCTAAAGCCGCAAATTCGGTGATTATCGCTATTCTTTCGTTTTCGGAATAACAAACTGTGGCGAATGGCGGCCGGTTAAACAGTTTCTATTTTTTACTACGTAAGCTCTGCAAAAAAATGTTGCTTATTAAAAAGTGTGCTTATAATTTAATATACGGTAAAACCTGTGTAAATTGGAATCGCACCGTACCGAATTCTTCCCGTTTAGGCACTCCTCCGCTTTATTCGGATTTCGTTAAATTAGGATTTATGGGGTTGATAAATTGCACGGAAAAAATAAATTAGCCAAAGACGCCTGTTTCTCTTAATCGATAGCAGAGGGCGCTACTAGAAAACATCTCGCGGTAGTGGTTTTTTCGACTGTAAATTAGAATACAGTCGTGAAATCGAAGATTTTTATGAAATTTATTTGGCCGAGCGGTGTCAAAAAATATCAGTTATGGAAGGTGCCGATTTCTATCCGTGGATACGAGTGCGAGTCATGGAAAAGGGAAAATTTGAATGTGGGCGAAGGACGAAGGCGAAAATTCCAGGAAACCAACAAAATGATTTTATCTATAGGCAAGCCAGGGGTGAAATTCCACAAGTACAGGTTATATATTTATTCATTATTAATTTAATCCGACTATAAATTAAAGCGTATATTTCTTGTTCTAGCCCTGTACGGTTCGTCTAAAGCAGTGATTCTCAAACTTTTTCGCTCCACCGCCCCCTTTGTTCCATAAAGTTATACCCAACGCCCCTAACCCATTTTCTCTTGTGTGAGAAAAGGATTGGAAATATTCTTAGGAAAACTTTTCTATGAATCTCACACTTTGTGCCCTTACTGTACATTGTTCTCATCATCTGGAAACCATTAAACGCAATGTTTCCTCTTATCAGCCCCAATTTTGCCTTTGGTCACCGTTCAATACCCTGCCTCTATCATAGATCTATTCATCGCGCCAGAAGGGGGCGTTATTGCTTACTTTGAGAAACGCTGAGCTAAAATAAGAGTCAATGTGTTAGAAATATTCAAGTTGCGACCTTCAATAAAAAATAAGAAATATATAAAATGTTGACATTTTATATATTTTTATATATAAAATCGAATTTTTATATATAGAATTTGTCTGCCGTCGCCCCTCTATATTTCCTTAACGCCCCCCAATTCTCTTTGATCCTTCTACTGCCCCCCTGAAAGCCTCCAGCGCCCACAAGGGGGCGTTATCGCCCACTTTGAGAAACGCTGGTCTAAAGAGTAAACCGTTGACGGCCACAGAGCTGGGCGGTTAGGGTGGTAGCTACGGTTCCGAGGGACCCGGGATCAAATTCGGACGGATCCTTCCGGATAAGTCGAGCCCCATTTCTCGTGACCCCACCACTCCGCCGCGGGCCCGGACTAACCCGTAATAGGATTGCTAAAAAAGAGGCCCTCTTAGTTCCCACAGAGCGGAAAAAGTTTTAAAAAATCTATTGTCTCTTTAAAAAACCTTAAAGCGGGTCCCGAAAACTACGGAACAACTAAACAAACTTTGTGTTACGGACCGGTTTAAAAACAAATTGCGAGTCGTGCCACAATTTAATGATGTAATAAGCTTTTTATTTACTTTTATTATATAACTTATGCCATTTGTATAAGCCTCTGTATAATCACGGCAATTACACTGTAATATACGTCTCGAGAAATCTAGGGAATTTTTGAACAAACGTTTAAAATTTCACTGGAAACATTGCGCGATATTTCTAAATGGGACTACACGTTGTATATTTTTTCGTCAACTTTGTCGCTATTTAGAAAAATGAAAAGTGACCGAAACGTTTTTCCGACGTAAATATTTCTTAACAGAAAACGTCTAGTGTATATTTACGTACCAGACATTTTCTGGTGTGTAAATACACAAATACTGGATATAACTGAAGGTCTAGTTTTAACTACTTTCGATAATACCGAAGTTTCGGTATCTAGGTGTAATTGCAAAAGGAGATTTAAGTGGCATATTTCAAGCGTCACTTAAAGCCTCCTGTAAATAACACCATACATAATCGTATCGGATTTTAGTCTCCTAAGCTGTAACAGCAGTTAAAGTTCGAATATCCAACGTAAGTCTCCTATTGTTATTTCGTACCGAACTTCCGGTAATATCGGTAGTTACTAGATTACAGAAATCAGTCACTAATTTTAAAAATAAGAAACCATCGGAGAGAATAGAAATGAGATATTATATTTAATAGGGCAACTATCTGCAGAAGTTGTTACAGTGTAAGGCGAGCTACCATTTTACAGAGAACGATAAGAAAACGTTACATTCGCTGGATAATCGGCTCAAAGTTTTATTAACAAAAGAGGAATATAGTCGATTTTATTCGGTCTGTATTCGTTAAGTCTCTTTTATTCCTTCAATTATTCCTTCGGCATTCCTTTAATTATTTTCGTTTAAATTCAAGGAAACGGATAATTTCGAAGATGACACTCTCCGAGATGACCAATTCGCCAGTGTAAACGACATCCAGAAGGTAGATTAATCTTCTCTTTTATTCTTATTTTCATTTCTAAAAAATACATTTACAACACAGTACTTATTATTTAATCGCAATCATTCTGTATATAAAACGGGTGTTTAGAAATAATTATTAGATCGAATGCAACCAAATTTAATGTGTAGGCCTATATATTGCCAACGGGATTTCAATTTCGCAAAGAAAAGGTTTTGTTTAAAATTTTCCGATAGAGAAAAATTTGTCACTAATTTCTCTGAAATTTGCATATTACCTAAGTAGTGGAACAACTTTAGAATTTATAAACAGTCTCAAAGCGTGTTCAATTTGAATTATCGACAAGTCACGGTGTTTAAATTGCCCGTTAAGCTTTACTATTAGAGAAATAGCAAAGTTATGCTGCACTCGAGAAATTCCGACGTTCAAAGTCCTTGCGAAAAGGTCCTCCGTAAGATGTATCAAATCGGAAAAGCTGGCGAAAATTTCAACAAAAGGAAATTTCTTCAGGCGGCTGTAGTCGCGCGCGATATCACGACGATTGAGTGTGCCCTACTCTACAGTTGAGGAAAATTTTGCGACGAATATTGCACGCTTAATCCCCACGAGATATCTCGTCACTAATTGTTCCGGTGATTATGCTAGGCGGAAATAATTTGCTATATTATTCATAGCTAGGACGAGGATCGACGATTAATGGTTCTATCAATGTCTGTGGACTGACGAAACTCTACTTGAATGGGTTTACAAACAAGGATGTTACGAGTGTTGACTGCGGTAAACACTCGTAACGTCCTTGTTTGGTCTGGAGAACCTACCAGTGGCGGAGTCGATGAAATTATCGAAAATGATAGTTTGTCGCGTGGATTTTTCTGTGTTTTCTTCACCCGTCTAACACCTAAATAGCTGTTCCCTTGTGGCAGATCGCTCGAGTGTGGCGTTGTCTTATCACCAATTCGATGCAACCTTAGGGATTTTTTGTGAATAGGTCATATCAAATTTGTCGGGCCTCGTCTCTCACTACTCGCCCGCCCCATTGTGAACTTAGCCGAACCCACGATGGATACGATTACGAAATGCCTTATGGATGGACAGAGTTTAAATAAATCTGCCAATTATTTTCTCCCAATTCAGCGAAAGAGCATATAATTCTCTGAAATTTTTAACTTGCTTGCAGAATTAATCAAAAATAGGCTGCACTGAAATACCTATTATTTAGTCCAAACAGGGCTACTAATTGAAAAGATTGATAATTACCTTGAAATTATTAAATTATGCGACGAATTTCGTTTTTATGTTTAGATGACCCGAGCAAATGCGAAGTTGGCGCATTGTGAAGGAAAATTCCATGAGATTTCGACAATTGAAAGAAGAAAATCCTCTTCCTCCCTTAACAGAAGACGACGTTCGACATTCGATCGAAGACGTCAGAACATAATACATTAAATTAATGCATTATAAATTCATTTACTATAGAAACCCTCGACTTTATATAAAATCTCGTCTTTCGATATAAATATGTCGTTAAAATATTACCAACATCCAGGCAATTTTTATAATTAATTACAGTATTATTATTAATTAAAAACTTTTCGTTTATTGGGCTGCAATTTGAAAAAAATTGCAGGTCTATAAATTGCCACTGTCTCTGGCCTTCCTTAATTAATCTCGAGAACGGAGACCAGATGTGGAATGCGTTGAGACAGGATGCCCGATTAACTATAATGTTTCAGTTCAAATCCTTTTCCTTCTAAGGAGTTAGATAGATGACCGGCACGACTCTATTTCTAGCAGGAGAAGTGTGATGTACAGGCGAAAGACACTACTAATTTGAGGTGGAGAGCATATAATTTAAATTAAATAAAGGAAAAATATGATTAAAAATTGCAGTTCGGCATTGTGACCATGTCACAATAAATAATTGCTCGTCACTCTTAGAAATCGAAGGGAAATTTCGCTTTCGTGAAAAATCCTGATTAAAACGATTACAATTAATTTAAAATTTTCTGTATTTATATATTACAACTAGCTGTTACCCGCGACTTCGCCCGCGCAGATTTTTCAAGCAAATCCCATTTATATTCAGTATTTCAACAACCATAGTAATTGTTATACTACCGTTGAGAATGATGAGAATTGCTGAGAATCGATCGAACTACAGTCGACTCCCCATAACACGGGTTCCTATAGTTCAGATTCCTATAACACGACGAAAAAATTGCGACAGTATTCGTACAAACACGCTAAAAAACTCCTATAATTCGGTAAAACGTCATCGCCGACTCGTGTCGCGACAGGATTGGTCGAATCTAGACCAATAGCGGATATTGCACAAACCGTTGAGTTTAAACGAGCAGCGGACCTACTAAAAACCATTTATTATTTAACGTCCATAAAAATTATATGTATATTATTAATGATGTCTCCAAAGTTCAGCGAATTTTTCGCAAAAAAAAATAATTTATCAGGAAGCACGCGAGCGCCATTCGATGACAAGCTCGACGACGAAAACAACCTTAATATATTTAGATAAGTAAATCATAATGTAGTAAGTAGGAAGTAATACCCGTTATTAGAGCAAAAATATATACATAAGTAATCGATGTGCAGACATTATGTCGAAAGGACTAGAATGCATTGAATAATTACGAGTGTCCGCATCGAATACGAACTCGGATTCGTTCTTTGAATTGAATCAGTAACCGCGCGAGTTTACACCATTATTCATTACATTTCTAAACTGAGTTAGAACTCGCATTTAGAAGGCACATTCAAAACTGATTTAGACGAATTTTTCGTGACAGATATAATAAAATCTTTTCAACCGAATTAAAGCGAAAATTTTTTGTTGTCGAGGAAATTTTAACAATCGTGACAATAAGTTAAAAGTCATCTATTCCACACAAGCGAAATCTTTACAAATCTTTATTCGTAAATTTCTCCTTTCCCGTTCTCACAAGCGAAAAAGTAGAACTATATTTCAACATAAGAAACCTAATTAATCTTAAATATTCCACACAGGAGAAGCTTATAATATCCCAGTAACAACAAATTTTGATTAAAACTAACGTTTTCGACCATAATCATGGTCTACTTCAGGCTTTTGACCAGTACAATTAGAATATGGAACGCTTAAAATTACAGTAGAACCTCGATTATCCGGACCTGTATTATCCGGATTTTCGATTATCCGTATTGTTCAAAATAAACAAAAATTTTACGAATTTGCTGATTTGCACTTGGCCAATTACGACACTGTTTATGTACGTGATGGAATGCATAACTTTTTTGTTTCAACAATGTCTCACCCAGCACAGTGGTCGTAAACTCTTAAATATATTTTACGTAGTAATAAAAATATAACTTGACATACGTATTTATAAATAATTTATATTCAAATTACATTATTTCTATGACCAAGGGCGGCGTAAGGCATGGACGACGTGGGCCACCGCCTATGCCTCGCGTTTCGAAGGTTTACGCATTACTTAAAAGCCGCGAACGCGACGAAAAAATTTTACTCGTCGTAAATCGTTAAATAGTTTGTCAAATTTTTATTCATAAAAATGCAGTTTCGACTGCTTTTTATTTTATAAAATCCGTCTTCTCGCGCCACCAGAGGGCATTTTAAACAATAGGTAGTCTGTTAGCGTTGGTCAGTAGTAGTCCAAATTCAATACGAACGTTTGTTTCTTGAAAATTTGATCACGATTTAAATACTGTACAGTATTTATTTTTAATATTACCGATATGTCATCGAAAAGAAAATGTGTTGTATTATCATTAAAAGACAAATTAAAGTATTTGTTTCGATTATCCGAATTTTTCCTTATCCGGACTACCTTCATCCCCAATTAGTCCGGATAATCGAGGTTCCACTGTATTTTAAAATACCGAAACATTTAAAACTAGAAGATAATTTTTAGCCGCATGTGCTGCAATAGCGATAAAAATATCCCTACACCACAAACAATAAATAATAAGATATAATTAATGGTGTAGAAAAGGTAGCTAAATGCTCGTGTTTTTTTCATAGCACCATCAGTAGTAGGGTTTCTCATTTCCCGGTCTTTTGCTTGTCCCGGGATTCCGGGATAAAAGTGAACTGTTTCCCGGGATCCCGGGAAATCCCGGGATAGAATCAATTATTTTTAAGGTATACAAAATATCTTGAAATTAAATGATATAATTATTTTTCATTTTTTAAAGTAATTTTAAAGCTTTGTATCATCCAAAATCATATTAATAATGCTGTGTAAGATATATAATAAAAATTACCTTTGAATTACGTAGAAATTTTCACAAATAGAAAAAATTTATTAAAGTTCGCTAGAAACTGCATACAACAACAACAACAACAAAAATGTTTTGAATTGAGTTAAAAATTAAAAATTGAACTTAGATCAAACTTATAACTTAGAAGGTAATTTTCATTTTTTAAATAAAATATAATACAAAATATTGTAAACTTTTATAAGATTTTAAAAAGCAAAGATGATCAATACTCCGATCACTCACTCTAATTCTTATTTTAGTAATGAAAAGTCTTGCCACCGAGAATGCCCTTTCCGATTCAATTGATGTGATTGGAATAGTGTTTAATGCATTTAAGAGAAGACAGATATAATGTGTTTTTTCACCTGTAGCCTGGAAGATTTCGAGTTT